AGCACTCACCTAGACTGAAGCAATACTCTGCGCTTCACAATGCGAAACAGCAAGATTTCTCCACAATAGTATACGGACATGACTGGGCACAGTGGAAGTATTAACAACAAAGACAATTTATTTCAGTTTATTAACTTTCTATCTGCCAGTCCTTTCTGTGTGCTGCTGGATGGAGTTCATTGGCTGACAGCATCAGCAGACACTCCGAATTGGGCCACCATTGATATATCTAGTGTGGAAGGAAAATTCCGCTGTATTTGAAAAGGGCGCTGGACCTTGGACACCCAGGGGACTCCGGTAAGTGCCAAGCCATTTCAAAATGGTGTGCAAGTTTTTATCACAATATTCAAGGTGCTTAGCAGAATGATTGTGTACATAACCGTAACTAAGGTGCATCGTTTTACTGTCATATTAAAGGGGTGTCTCTTTTCTTGAATTTGTACCATTAAATAAAGCATTTAAAATCACCCATAACTTGTGTTAACATGTTTTTCATGACTTGCTCTGTAGATTTACAAATGACATCACAATCCAGTTCAGACAAGGCTCAGTCAGGGCACACAATGCGAATGAGGAGGAGACATAGACAACACTGTTTCATTTCTCCTCTCTATGCTTTCTCTATTCTGACTGCCAGCGGCAAAGGACAGAGCTTATAACAATGTGTAATAGGGAGCTAAGATGTTGGTGCCATGATGAGGGATGAGAGATGGGGAATTCTGCATTTAAAGGGACACTATAGTCACCCAGACCTCTCAATTAAGTGGTCTGGGTACAGTAGCCCTGTCCTTTCAACTCTGTAATGTAAAACACTGTAGCTTTTAGAACCTGCAATGTTTGCAGTCTTAGATCCACAGCCACTAACAGTACTTCAGTGGCACTGACTGTGTATAACTCAGTCACATGACCCAGAAACCCATAGGAAAGCACTGAATATATGCACATCAGGCCCCCAATGCCCCTCTATGAGAAGCCGTGATTGGGCCATCTCGGAGAAGATATTACATAGAAAAAGCTACATCAATCCTTTATTTTACAAATTTTCTTTTCACACAGGGGGAGGGGAGAAGCTATAAAGAACTAGGGGCACTTAAAGGGACACTATAGTCACCAAAACAAGTTTAGCTTAATGAAGCAGTTTTGGTGTATAGATCATGCCCATGCAGTCTCACTGCTCAATTCTCTGCCATTTAATAGTTAAATCAATTTGTTTATTAACCCTAGTCACACCTCACTGCATGTGACTTGCACAGCCTTCCTAAACACTTCCTGTAAAGAGTCATCTAAAGTTTATCCTTCCTTTATTGCAAGTTATGTTTAATTTAGATTTTCTTATCCCCTGCTGTGTTAATAGCTTGCAAGATCCTGCAAGAGCCTTATGTATGTGATTAAAGTTCAATTTAGAGAGAAAGAGATACAATTGTTTAAGGTAAATTACATCTGATTGAAAGTGAAACCAGTTTTTTTTTTTTTTTTAATGCAGGTGTTCTATCAAATTTCCCTACCCCGTTAGAAAACCCTACCCTCGTCACTTCCGGTGACGAAGCCGCACCGGAAGTGACGTTGGGACGGGGGTGTGCGCAACCGCGCAGGCGCACACCACCTAGGTAGGGACTTGGAACAGCGAGGAGTCGCATAAAGGCGCAGTGCGCACGCGCGCCAAACTACTCCCGTCGGAGGTACAGCGCGCGTGCGCACTTGGGGACAGGGAGAGCTTCACAGACACCGCGCATGCGCACTATAGGGGTAGGGAAATCTGATGGCGAGTAAGCCCTGTGAAATCTCCCTACCCCTATACTGCGCATGCGCGGACTGGACTCTGATCGTCTGAGTAAAGCTTCTCCCTGCTCCCAACACACTCAGCCATCCAAGGGGAGGGGGTACTATATTAGGGGGGGTTTCAGTGCATTATATTGGGGAGTGGGGGTTTTCTACATTATTGTATGGGGGGTCTGCGCTGTATGGGGGGTCTGCGGCTGTATGGGGGGCTTTCGCGGCTGTATGGGGTCTGGCGTATGGGGGGTTGGCTGTATGGGGGTCCTGCTGTATGGGGGTTTCGCTGTATGGAGTCCTGCTGGCTGTACAGCCAGAGTCCTGCGCTATGGGGATCTCGCAGTATATTGGGGTATCTCTTGGCTGTATGGGGGATCTGCGCCTTGGCCAGTATATTGAGAGTATGCGCTGTATGGGTGTCTAAGCTGTATGGGGGTATGCTGTATGAGAGTCTGCGGCTGTATGGGGGGGTCGCGGCGCTGTATGGGGGGTCTGCGCTGTATGGGGGGTCTGCGCAGTATATTGGGGGTATGCGCTAGGGATCGACCGATTATCGGTCTGGCCGATATAATCGGCCGATATTTGGTATTTTCGGCAATATCGGTATCGGCCAATTCAGATACCGATATTGCCGATAATATATAACAGGACCGCCGTGCCCATTACAAGCCCGGCGGTCCTGTGGGGGCCAGCAGCAAGCGCTGACTTACCTTGCATGCAGCTCCTACAGCTCTGTGTAAATCTCGCGAGACCCGCGGCCGCAGAGCGTTGCCACGGGTTACCATGGCAACGCTCCGCGCGGCACTAAGAGCCGCGAGATTTACATAGGGAGCTGTAGGAGCTGCTTGCTAGGTAAGTCAGCGCTTGCTGCTGCTGAGCCACCACTGTACTTAACAAGCCACTGGACCACCAGGGAATACTATATCCCCCTCCCTGGTAAGAAGCAGGGAGGGGGGACTAAACAAAAAATAAAAACATTTTTAAATATTAAAAAAAATATTAAAATAAAAAATTACACAAATTACATCACTACACAAACACACACACTACACAAACACACACTGCACACACTATGCATTACATACACACTACACAAACACACACTGGGGGGGACTAAACAAAAAAACAAAACATTTAAATATTGAAAAAAATATTAAAATAAAAAATTACACAAATTACATCACTACACAAACACACACACTACACAAACACACACTGCACACACTCTGAATTACATACACACTACACAAACACACACTAGGGGGGGGACTAAACAAAAAAAAACATTTAAATATTAAAAAAATATTAAAATAAAAAATTACAAAAATCACTACACAAACACACACTGCACACACACTGCATTACATACACACACACACACTGCATTACATACACACTACACAGACACACACACTGCATTACATACACACACTACACAGACAGACACACTACACACACACCACAAACACACACTGCACACATACTGCATTACAGACACACACACTGCATTACATACACACTACACAGACAGACACACTGCACACATACTGCATTACATACACACTACACAGACACACACACTGCATTACATACACACTACACAAACACACTGCATTACATACACACACTACATTACATACATACACACTACACAAACACACACACTGCATTACATACACACAAAAACACACTGCATTATACACACACACTACATTATATACACACTACATTCATTATACACACACTACACAAACACACACTCTGCATCCACTACACACACACACACACTACACAAACACACACAGTTCCCATGTCTAAACACACTTCATCCACTACATGTGGCATGTATATTTTGTGCATTTACCTTTCGAATTAGTTTATTTATTCAAAATAGTAAATGTACAGAATATCGGCAAGATATCGGCTATCGGCCTGAAAGTTTGCAGATTATCGGTATCGGCTCTAAAAAATCAATATCGGTCGATCCCTAGTATGCCGCTTCTATGGGTGTCTAAGCTGTATAGGTATCTCGCTGTATGGGGAAGTCTACAACCTGAGGGGGTCGCAAGCTATATAGGGGGTTTCGCGCTGTATAGAAGTCTCACGCATAGTATATATTGGGGGGTATCGCTGTATAAGGTAATGCGCTATAGGGGTATCTCTTTGTATAAAGGGAATACACCAAACAACATAGAGGAGTTTAAGCTGTATGAAGTCTCGCAGTATAATGGAGAATACGCTGTATGGTATATACGCTGTATCGAGGTATCGCGCTGTATAGAAGTCTGCGCTATATAGAGTCACAAAACAGCATAGGGGTTTAGCACAACACACATAGAAATTATAAACTTTATAGAGTCTACGCAGTATGTAAGTCTACGCTGTATCAGTCATAGCTGTATAGAGGCAGTGTATTAGATAGAGGCTATTCATTGTTATATAGAGGCTGTGCATTAGATGGGGAGCTGTACAGTACGTGTGGCCTGTGTGTGTTAGATGTGTACAACCCTAGTTTCACTGACAAATATTTATTTCCTAGATATCATATACCATGGCATGCTTTTTGCTATGAAGCCGCAGCCATCTAGTCACTCGCCAGAGAAGGATGAGAAACTGCACCCCAGCGAGAGGGACAGCCCCACATCTGCAACCAAATCCATCGGTCACCGAATTCAGTAATCTCCGTCTCTTTGTGCATTGTGTATGTACGGTACTCCCAATTCTTATATTTAATCCGGTGTGTCTCCCACAATCTTTGTGTCTGTCTGCACGCACTGTGTCTGTTATGCCAGTTACTCTAACTAGTTTATTTCTTTTTGTGTGTGTCACAGCTCTGACAAGCATGTTCTTCTATGGGACACGAAGTACATGAAGAGGAATGAAGAAGCCCATGTCTGATGCTCGTCTCCAGGGTGGAGTATTGAATTTATAACTAATGAAGTGGCATCTGACACATGACGAGCTGCTCCTGTTTGCACAGCAACTTCAACATTGTGTACTGTGATCACGGCATAGTTCAGAGGTAGGTAACCTTGGGCAGTCCAGATGCTGTGAATAACATCGACCATAATGCTGGCAAACCATTATGGGAGGTGTAGTCCAAAACATCTGGAATACCGAATGCGTATGAATGCAAAGTATGGTGTGTGTGAATGGTCAGTAACAAGGGTTGAAGCCTTGACGTGGCGTTACTGCTCACATGTGTATTCATGTGCCAATTCAACCAATGTTAGTCACTGTAATACTTATAAGGTAACCAAAAGTACTGTGATTGTGGAGAATGAAACTCCTTATCCTATGAAATCTCCTATACACTGCTGACACTGTGACCGTATCTCCTAAACACTGCTCATACTGTGACCGTATCTCCTAAACACTGCTCACACTTTGACCCTATCGCCTATACACTGCTTACACTCTGACCCTATCGCCTAAACACTGCTTACACTGTAAGCACAGACATGCTTTTAATCAAAATTGAAAGCGCTAGATCATTCCTTCTGTTCTACGCCTCCAATCTTCAACATTGAAATTGTCATTTCTAATAATATAAAATAAGTAATATGCTTTCTGGTTACGATTTGGTGGGTTGTAAATATTTTTTTTATTCCTACAGTTCCAGAGGGAAGGAGCAAACCGCTTTGAGGAGTCCCTGCATAAGAGACTATTGGATACTGAAGGGCTGTACTGCAGTGTCGGCTCTAGACTTGGCGAGGCCTTAGGCGAAACTCATACATGAGACCCCACGGAGAACACCATTATTGAAGAAAAAATTGCAGTTGACTTTGTGTATAAGAAGCTGTAGATATATTGATGGTGGAGCTCAGTGGTGTATCCTGGTTTTGTGCTGACCTAGGCAGGACAAAACTCA